TTAAGATTTCACTTTTAATATAATTTAAACAAGAATTGAAAACCTAAACTGAATAATAATTATGGGACGAAGAGAGTAATTAACAAGACAATAAAAAGGGAAGCTAATAAGGTAATCAATCAAAAACCCAAAAGAGATTAGGAGAAAAATAGAATTAATATCTTTACAAGATTAAACAACCTTAAAAGACTAGAGGAACACCTTCATCATCAACTGAAGAACTAACACTAAGATTAGATCAACAGAGCCAGCTAAATTAATCACTAACTTATTTCAAGAACTTTTTCACATCACCCTTATTTAGATCCATAATAAATTTCCATCAGTTGGGCTTAGAGGAAAAAGACGATGAAGATTGAGATCAGCAAAGTGGCCGGAATTGATGACCCGAAGCCGTTGCCGCGGCCAGCGCAACCGTTGTGACCATGACCATGTGAACCACCAGTCCCGCCGCCGCCCCTGATGGCTCTTCCACCACCACCACCACCCCTTCCTCCTCCTCTCCCACGAGCAGCGGGTGTCAACAGCAGACAGAGGACGGCAAGAACAAGCAAAACTTGAGTAGCATTCATGATGGGTTTCAATGATCTGCTTAGAAATTTCTCCAAAAAAAAAAAAATAATAATAAAAAATTTACTCTGTTTTTGCTCTGTTAAATTTTACTCTGCTTTTACTCAAAAGAAATCATATGCATCATTTTTGCTATAATATATAGAGAGAGAGAGAGATGTAGTTTTTAGTTCTGAGTTCTGAATCATCCATGTGAATAGGTGATTCTCAGTCTCAGGCATCTCTGTCCAATTACTCCATTTAGGAAGAAAGGTAAGTAAATGAACATTTCGTGAATTCATCAAAATTTATCTAGTTTTCACTGGACGTTGTTTTTTTGTGGCTTCCGGGGGATTTTCGTAGAAAGCAAAATGGTTGTTTTATTGTGTAATAAATAAAAGGACCCCATTGTACTGCTAGTGTATACGCCAGTCCGTTTCTCTAGCCGGGGATGGCTAAAATAAGTAGCATGGGCCAAATGAAAGAATTGGAACAAGGAGTAGTATTGCATGGACAATAATTGTTGGGAGATTTTATAAGGGACGAGAGATTAATGCGAGTGTGACGTGCCTGTATTCATATAGGACCATTTTGTTGTACTTATAAATTGACATATATTGGGATAGAGTGAATGTTGGTGAAAATGAGGAATATGTATACTAATGAGGAATATCACACAATTTACAAATTGTGTGATATTTACCAACTTATGAAGACCAGATTTTGATTCAACTCCAATCCAATTAGTAAAAAACCAAAAAAAAAAAAAAAAAAAACTTACAGTAAAGATCTGTGATGGATGTGAACTAGCTGCCAAAATCCTGAGGAGAATAAGTTCATGCCAGAATGTATCGAACTAAATGTATGTATGTCCAGTAGGGAAGAAGAATGGAGGTAGGTAAAAAATGTCAATGTCACAGTTAATGACCAATTTCATCCCAAATAAATTAACTCATTGGCATCGGATTCTAGTTTAGTCTATATTTGATGTTAAACGAATACCATTGTGAGTTTTTTTTTTTTTATTTTTTTATAATGAATGTTGTTTGGTTTAATTTAATTAGAGCTACAAGTATCGCTCATATCAAGTTTCATGAAGAAAAAAAAAATGAGGGACTCTGGTAGAGTTGAAGAGAGTAAAAATCAGATGACCCAATTAGTCAAAGGATAAATAAGACATGGTAGAATTCTTTAATCCAAAATAGTACCAACTACCAAGCTAAGAATAATTATACATTTTATAAACACCGCATATTAAAATTTTGTCCAACAATATAATATCTTTTCCGTCTCACAAAAATACTTTACTACATAAATTGTAAATCATATTATTTGTAATACAGTTTAAAATGCGGACTAATTTCATGAAATAGAGAGTAAATTATTTGTTCATCGTACTAGTGTTTGACTCAACATTTTTTCTTCAAATTTATTTCATTCACAAGTGTGTGTTCTAGTTGGCAGTAAGCTATTTATCTCCCTAAAACACAAACGTCGTCGGCTTTTCTCTTCACATAATGATGTGCATATGTATATACCACTTTTTAAACAAACCAAAAGTAATAGCGTTCCATTCTCCTTGCAGAATCACCCTTCAAAGATACAGTTAGTTAATCACTCAATTAACCAAATCATCAATCAATAATTATTTATGGGTTTCAATAGAATCTAATGGAATGGAATTCATTAGAGAAGATATGAAAAAAGTTGTTCGGAAATTCCAAATGTAATAAAGCCCAAAATAGTGACGTTATTGTTTTTCTGGCCAGTTCTGCATTATGTAATCTCACCAAAAATGCAGATTACAATCCCCATATATACATAGTACATAGACAATAAAACCCTCCGGTCAATCCCTTCTTCTCTGTTTCTCCGCCGCTTCTTCCCCACGGTTGCCGCCGTCCACCATTTTCCGATCCCGCTCTGATCCTGCACGGCTTGTTCGGGTTGGACTTAATGTAACTCTGTTTCTCTGTTTTCGGCGAGAATCGGATGATTTTCGAGCTCTCATTCTCTCCGTTTCAGTGTCATTCATAAATTAGTTTTTGTTTCAATTGCGTGATTTCGTGGTGTTGCTTTTGTGGATTACTTGATTATGAATAATGTAGATTGAGTTGAGCAGCGATCTTGTAGTTCCGTGTCTTTGGTCAGCTGATTTTTTTCGACATCGTCTATGAATATAAAATAATTTGCTTCTGTTTATAAAGTTTTAACAATTTTGGGGAAATACCCTACTTGATTTTCATAAAAATAGTATTAGTGGGAACCTTACTGAGCTCGGCACTCACTCTTTTATTATATATAATTATCCACTCCTAGGATTGAAGAAGGACAGAAAGTTTGTCAGTTATAAAAGATTCTTCAGAAAGTTTAGTTGAAAAGTCGGAGTCGCTATTATTCCTTTGGAATAGAATATTGAATTAAGCAAATGATGCAACTACAAGGAATTAGATTATAAAATTAGAAGATTAGAAAATTATTTAAATTTAATGTAATCAACTCTAAGAGGTGTATTCTTATAAATTATTCATATTTTCAGAAGAGGATAGTAAAGTAGTGCGCCTTGGGCGAGAGCTCGACGGACATCTCGGTTTTACTAGTCGAACAAGTTATACTGTTTAATAAAAAAAAGTAAGTTAAGACATGCAGGTAAAATTGGGGTGTTACAAAAACAGTCCTGAAAAAGAAAAAAAATCTAATTGTCTTGAAAGATTTGAAAAACAGTCCTGAAAAAATCCAAAAAAAAAAAGGAATCTAGGTTTGAAAAACAGAATGTCCAGATTTAAAAAAAGAAGAAAAATTTAGTCCAGATTTGAGAAAAATAAAAGAGAAATAAAAAGTCTAGAAAAATCAGAGCTCTTACGTGTTTAGGTGTCCTAAGAGCCGAAAATTGATCTCAACAGGTAGTGATAGTATGAGCCGGTATCCCAGAGAGGCCCAAAAGAACACACCACCTGTGGGTAAAATAATAAGACACAATTAGGTTCCAAGCAAACTAAAATAAGTGTAATAATAAAAAATAAAAAATATAAGTATGTACATAACTCACCTTGCACCAAACGCATGGTCCTTGAAAAATTCTTCATCACATTGCCTCTGTGGTCATGTCATAGGGATACGCTCCCACGCCCCAACTGCAAGTAAAACAATGACAAGCTGTAAATTTCATTTTTTTAAAAGAAAAAAGTGATTGAGAAAAAAAGAAAATTAAATACGATATGCAAAAGAAGTAGGCATTCACCAACATTCCAACTTTTGCTTTGTGCTGCCTTACAAAGACTTTTGTAAAGTACAGCGAAACATGCACTGCCCCAACTAAGTTTAGCACAGTGTTTTAGGTTCCTTAACAATGGCAAATAATACAAAGGAACTGTATCAGTTGAGTCGGGAAAAAGTATACTGCCTAAAGCCCGCATTATAAAGACTCGTGCTTTTTTTTCACAAGCAGGTTTTTCACTGTCCAAATCAATAGGCATAACTGCTTGTTTTTTTAGATTCAAATGAAATTCTATTTTTTGACCCTTTTTTTATTTTCTGTGGAAATTGCTTTCCTTTTTTTGTTACTATTATTCGCACCAATTTTATGATTTTGTAATCAAATAAATAAAAACGAAAAACAAATTTCTGTTTTATTAATGACAATTACTAAAATAGAACCATTTTCTGGTAGTGATAGATTCTGACCACCAAAAAAAATAAAAATGTCTTTTCTTTTTTTCAAACCATTATTTTTGTCTAAGGCTCGGAAGAAGAATCGAGGTAGGTAAAAATGTCAATGTCACAGTTAACAGCTAATTTCATCCCAAATAAATTTAAGTCATTGGCATCGGATTCCAGTAGTTTAGCCAAAATTTGATTTAAAACGAATACCATTGTGAATTTTTTTTTAGGAATATTGTTTGGTTTAATTTTATTTGAACTACAAGTGTCGCTCATATCAGGTTTTATGAAGGAAAAAACACGAGGGACTCTGATAGAGTTGAAGATGACCCAATTGGTCAAAGGGTAAATAAAGCTTGTAACCAAAAAAAAAAAAAAAAAAAGATAAATGAAACATTGTAGAATTCTTTAATCCAAAATAACCAAGCTAAGAATATTTATACTCCCTCTGTCCATAATTATTGTCCAGCTTGAGTTTTTACTTTTAGTGTAGTTTGTACTACAATTTGTATAATTTGTACAATAATTTTAGGACAGCGAGAGTACATTTTAAACACAACATATTAAAATTTTGTCCAACAATATAACACCTCTCTCGTTTGGCAAAAATACTTTGCAATATAAATTCTAAATTGTATTATTTGTAATACAGTTTACAATGCCGACTAATTTCATGAAATAGAGAAAGTAAATTATTTGTTTATCCTATTAGTGTTTGACTCAGCACTTTTTCTTCAAAATTATTTCATTCACAAGTGTGTGTTCTAGTAGTCAGTAAGCTATTTATCTCCCTAAAACACAACGTCGTCGGTTTTCTCTCCACATAATTGTACATGTATATTAGTACTTTTTAAACAAACCAAAAGTCATAGGCTTCCATCTCCTTTTCAGAATCACTCTTCACAGACACAGGTAATTAATCAATCAATTAACGAAATCATCAATTGATAATTACGGGTTTCAATGGAATGGAATTCATCTCCATTCCACTAGAGAAGAAATGAGAGAAGTTGTTCAGAAATTCCAATTGTAATAAAGCCCAAAACAGTGACGTTATTGTTTCTGGCGTGTTCTGCATCATGTAATTGTAATCTCTCCAAAAATGCAGATTTGAAGCTCCCATATATACATATACATAGACCGGTCAATCCCTTCTTCTCTGTTTCTCCGCCGCTTCTTCTCCACGGTTTCAGCCGTCCACCATTTTCCGATCGCGCTCTGATCCTGCACGGCCTGTTCAGCTCGGGCTTAAGGTAACTCGTTTTCTCTGTTTCCGGCGAGAATCGGATGATTTTTGGCTCTCATTCTCTCCGTTTCAGTCTTCATTCATAATTTTTTGTTTTTTTTTGGGATTTCGTGGTGTTGCTTGTGTGGATTGCATGATGATGAATGTAGATGACGTTGAGCAGCCATCTTGTTGCTCCGTCAGCTGATGATCTTTTTTTGACAGCATCTATGACTATAAAAATAATTTGCTTTGTCTTTGTTCGCATGTTTTTGTTTCTTTGTTTTATTTTTAATTTTTTAACCTCGTCAAGATGTGTATTCACTTTCGGTCGGAATTCTTCCCTTAACCCATTTCTGTGTATCGGGATTTCCAGTTTCCAGCATGAATTCTTTGCTTAATTTTCTTTGAACACGAAATATGATAAAATTCCAAGGAGAATGCCCTTTTTTTTTTTTTTGGTTTTCATTTCTTGCTCTTCTTTTTGTAATCACTCCAAATTCAGTTTGGGAGTTTGTCTGTACTTAATTCTATGAAAATTGAATGGGATTCCCATGATAAATTTGATTGTGCCATTTTGTCATTTTATTGCGGGCAAATTGCGGTCACAGTAAGGACAAGTGATAATTGAAACCATAAATGTTGTTGTGATTGACTCGATTTCGATTGAGAAAATGCGTAATTGTTTAATTTTTGGATTCACCTTACTTATAGTATATCCAAACCGACCATTTACTGTATATTAATTTTGTTCAGGCGTATATACCAGACAACGGAACCATGAAATTTCGAATTGGAGAAGAGGTGGAGGTTTCAATTGAGGAGGAAGGCTTTGAGAATTCCTATTATGAAGCCACAATCATCAGCAAAGAAGAGGGTTCATCGAAATATCGAGTCAAGTACAAAACCTTGCTGAATGACGATGAATCGGAACCAATGGAAGAGGTTGTGAAGCGTGATCAGCTCCGGCCTTTGCCGCCTGATGTTCCGGTGATTGGTTTCAGCTTGTACGAGGCTGCCGAAGTATACGAGAACGATGGCTGGTGGGCTGGCATCATTTATGGGAAATTCCAGTCGGATTATTTCTTGTTTCATCCTTCAACTGGAGAAGAGAAGCCTTATCCTTAGGAAAAATGGAGGGTTCATCATGAATGGAAGGATGGCAAATGGGTTTGTCACAAAGCTGGAGTTATTCCAAATCCGAAGTAGAGGATAAGCAAGAACAAGGAACTTCGAGAGGCAAAACGCTCTCAAAACGCTTCAAGAAAGAAAACATCAAGTCCCAAAATTAAGGACGACAAGATATCTATTTATATTAGGCAATACAAGCAATGTATTTTTAGTGTTAGGTTAATTTGGGATGCAAATTGCTAATATCTAGGATTGTAGAAGGCGCGAATTGGTGAAAACATTTTATGGGTTTTAGTTCTTTCATTTGTGTGTTGCTCAAACAGAATTCATAAGCCATTATTGGGTATATGTGGAGCTTTAGTTTTTTTGAGCAAATTACTGACAAAGAAGATCGTGCAAGTTTCGGGCATCTACAGCCTCATATGGCCATTTTCCATATAAAATTTCCTGATCAATACAAAACTGCGTAGAGACAAATAATACGTAGAATGTAGTGTATTTAAAATATCAATATTTCATTTATATTCTAAACTGTTCATCGGTAAATTCTTGCATGTCATTTAAATAGATTCACATTCGTAACTTATATATCTTTCTGCAACAATACATTTTTTTGGTATTCCATAAATTTCAATTGAATTGGCTGAATTTGAATATTTCGGTGATCTATCAACCCAATTATTTTCTACTTTCTAGTGTATGAAATTCTTGACTAGAGACAAACAATACGTATAGTGTGGTGTATTTTAAATATCAGTATTCCATTTATATTCCACACTTTTAATTAGTAAACACTTGCAAACCATTTAAATATAGATCGTGTTTATGGATTTTCATTCTTCTATATAGCTTACTTTTTTTTTTTTGTAATTTTTTGCGCTCCTTGATTACTTGTGTGTATAGGATTTAAGCTATGATGATTTTCCTTTTAAATGTATTGGTATCATGAGATTTTACTAAATGTTGATGAAATAAACCTGTAAGTTTAATTTCATTCAACCCATAATGTCAAAAACAATATCACATCCCATAATGGAGGACTTGCTAAGTGACTGCGATGTGACTAGAACATCGAATTGAAGATGTGAGCTGGAAGACAAGGCGAGTGAGAAGATTATGGATGAAACAAGAGATCAACTGAAATATCATGATGATTAGGCTACTAGTTCACTCATTTCTAATATCAGTCACGATCTCTCGATGGAGTGCGTGCTGCTCCAGGGCAAATTATGGTACAATTTTTGAAGACTAATCAGGGGTTTCAGGTCCATAATTTTAAGTGGAGAAAAGCTTTATTAGCTAAGAAGGAAGTTATGCATCGTTGAACATTGGGTTTACTTCTCATGTAACCGTGCTGAATGGGAGGCTTTTGATCCAGTTCAACGTAAATATATGGGTTTACCGGCCATTCCAGCAAGCGAATGATTCAAATGTTGTGACATGGATTCGCTAGCTGTAGGTACCGAACTCTTCGTCTTTGGGAGGGAAATACAATCTCTTAGTGTTTACAAATATAGTGTTGTAACAGGCTCATGGGTAGATGGTGTGACTCCAAATACCCCGAGATGTCTGTTTGCCTCTGGCAGCCTTGGCGAGATTGCTATTGTTGCGAGCGGTTGTGATTCAAAAGGAAAGATACTAAACTCACCAGAACTGTATCATTCGGATAAAGGAACATGGCGAGATCTCCTGAGCCTAAATACACCAAGGAAACTATGCTCCAATGTAGTTATGGATGGAAAAATATACACAATCGGTGGGATTGGAGTAGTAGAAGAAATCATAGAAAGTGAAGCTAGGAACCCGAAAGTGCTTACATCTAGCGAGGTATTTGATGTCAAGAACAATATTTGGGTTGAAATTCCAAATATGTTTCCGATATACATTGGAGAGGGAGCTGATGAGTATGCTCTTGCAGTTACAAGGTCGTCTCCTCTCCTTGTTGTTGTGAAGAATGACTATGTGCAGCATATCACGAGGAAATGCTTCTGAAGAAATACAGTGAGAGCCTGAATATTTGGATGACAATTGGTAGATTACCGCAACATACCTCCTCGGCAAATGGTTGGGAATCGGCATTTAGTGGTTGCGGTGATTTACTTGTAGTTATTGTTGATTCTCAAGCTATGAATTATAGGTTTCTTGAGATCAATGCATGGGAGCCGAAGGAAGTTCCTCCATAATGGACTTTGCTCAGTAGGAAGGATTCAAAGAGTTTTGTCTACCATTGTGCTATAATGGGTCGTTGAGCAACATTCTTTGGATTTTAGATGAACAAAATGGACTAAGAATCGATTCTAAACTCTGAAAAAATAATATACTAATAATTATTTTAATTCTATTTACATTATGATCAATAGAAAATTTTTGGTCATTAATAGCTGAAGAAAAGTTCAAAAAGATATATTATACATTATAAACATGTGGTTGTGGTTCAACAATGGATTGCGCGTTATATGTGCGTATAACGCGCAATGCATTGCCGAACCACAACCACATTAACAAAATTTGCACCATTAATGCAAATCTAATATGAAAACTAATAAATAACTTGAAATCGAACTTAGGTCGCACGATGAAAGTAATTTATGTTTTTCTATATTACGATTTGGGCGTACAACGCGCAATGCATTGCTGAATCACAACCACATTAATAGGATTTCACTATCAACGCAAACCTAATATGCAAACCAATAAATAACTTAAAATCAAATATAAGTCGCACAATCAAAGCAATTTATGTTTTTCTACATTACGATGGGAACAATAAATAGTACACAATCCATAAGCCTCACAAAAGAAATTAAAACCCTCCCATCCAATATTTGTTTGTGCAAGAGGAAAAAGAATCAAAAGCAGCCAAGTAGAGGCAAAGATAGAAGTGATAGACTATAAGAATAGTATATGAAGTTGTTTGTGATTAGTATAGAAGTTATAGATATGTTTTACCTGATAACAACAACTGTATAGCTTGATCTCTTATGTACACTTTTATATAAACGATTGATATAAATTTAGAGCACAACATTCACAACCATCTCATTCTCTTACTCTTTCATGGTATTAGGAGATCTCTCTGCTGCCACTTCTGTTGTCATGGGTTCTAATACTCTAACTTTCTCTCCTACTCACGTCACGACTTCTTCTCTTAGTTCCAATTCCACTCCTAGTTTCACCAAGCTTTGAGTCTATCAAATATCAAAAACTACGTCTCCCAAGTTATTGATTTCACTAATTATATGCTATGGAAAGAACTCTTCCTTCCCGTTTTTCCGCGGCCATGGTGTCATCGATCATATTGATGGCACTTCTCTCTGTCCTTCTTCCACCAGCATTGATTCTGCTGGAAAAATTCTCCCCAATCCTGACTATCATTCATGGATGCAAACTGATTCCATAGTATTTTCTTAGATTCAAGCCACCATTTCAATCGAAATTCTTCAAGCTATCATTACTCCAAATAATTCTCTTACCGCTCGTGATGCCTGGATTGCCATCGAGAAATTATTCCAGGATCATGTAGGCTCTCGGATCCTCTATCTCAAAATGCAATTTCACAATCAAAAGAAGGGAGAGTTATCCATCAATGATTATTTTCATTGTATTAAGTCTCTTGCCGACTCCTTAACTGCTGTCAGATGCACCAATTTCTGACTCAGATTTAGTTCTTCAAGTCTTAGCGGGTTTACCAAATGAGTATCTGCCTGTCTCTACAGCCATTTCCATAAACATTCCCCTTCCCTCCTTTGTTGAAGCCCGTGCTTTGTTGTTTCTTCATGAGGTCCAATTACAGCAAAATTCTCCTCCGGTGTCTTCACCTTCCACTGCTCTCGTTGCTGCTACTCCCAACCCTTTTGAGACTCATCCGCAATCAGCTTATCCTCCTCCTTCTTTTTCTTCAAATCGTGGCCGTGGGCGAAATCAAAATTTTCATGGCCGTGGAAGGGGACGTGGCCGTCAGGGGTTTAATTCCCCAACTTTCTACTCTTATGGCATCCTATCCTCACCATCTTTTCCTACTCGTCCTCGAGGTCCTTCCCTGTTAGGTCCTCCTCCTTCACTTCCATATGTCCATTGTCAACTTTGCCTACAATCCAATCATACCGCTCGTGACTGTTACCAATTTTAACCGCCGGCATTTTATGTTGATAACTCCAATCGGTCTGTGGCATCTCATCCACCATCTGCTGATCCAAACTGGAATCTCAACACTAGTGCATCTAATACCATGACTCCACAATCAGGTATTCTATCTCATGTTCAACCTTATAAAGGTATGCATCGTGTCGTTGTCGGTGACGGCACATCTTTACCTATTGCTTCAATTGGCACATTACCTTTGTCTTTTTATTTTCCTAATGTTTTTCGTGTTCCCGGCTTAACCCAGAATCTCATATCTGTTAGAATTTTCTCTAATGATAATCAATGCTCACTCGAGTTTAATCCCTTTGGTTTTTCTGAGAAGGACCTCTAGACGAAGAAACAACGTCTACGCTCTAATAGCCTGAGTCCCCTTTACTCTTTTCCTACTCAGGTTTTTCATCGTGCCTCTTCTCCAACTGCACTGGTTGCAATCTCTTTGGCATCAAAGATTGGGTCATCCCAATTTCTCCGTCTTATCCAAGTTGCTTTCCACAAACAGTCTTCCTCGATTCTCTGTGATCTCTAATTCCGCTGGTTTTTTCTACCAAGCTTGTCAGATTGGTAAACATCAGAAGCTGCAATTTTCTTAATCCATTTTTGTCACTCGTCGTCCCTTTGATCTCATCCATACAGACGTTTGGACTGCACCACATTTTTCTTTCTTTTTTTTTTTTGTTTCAAATACTATGTACTGTTTTTAGATGATTACATTTTTTATGGGTTTTTCCAATAAAACAGAAGTATGATGTTTATTACAAGTTTGTTTCATTTTATTATCTCGTCTTCAATCAGTTTAATACGTCCATTAAAATGCTTCAATCTGACGGTGCTGCCGAGTATGTTGTTTCCAGTAATTTTTGCACTTTTCTTAATAATAAAGGCATTGCTTTGCGCATCTCTTGTCCTCATACTTCACAAAAAAATGGCAAAGCGGAACATATGAATTGAACCCTAATTAATTACGTACTATACTTCACCAGCTGAACTCCCACTTGAATTATGGGCGGAAGCTGTTGACACAAGCACTTATCTTATTTATCGTCTGCTTACTTCTTCTAAATTAGGGTTTAGTCCTTTCTACCTTCTTTATAATTCTCTTCCTGACTATTCATGTCTTC